GCTTTATTCTATCTACTTTCGAACACATATATTCATCATTTTTATACTTAATCCTCGAGAAATGCATTAAGGAAGTAATTCATATGTAATAACGAAACATTATTGATATAAAGTCTGTGATGCAGGAGGAGAAACATTGCTAAGGCGTCTGTGTTGAAGGAGAGACGTTGCTAAAGATGTTCGTCACATCTGTGGAAGGGGAAGAGGTTTAAAGTCCTATTTCTATACTGCAACACTCTTTTTAGATTGTATTTCACAAAATCTATAGCGTATCCAGAAAGTAACTAAACAAAGAAGAACTTGAATATCTCGATCATATGAGTTGATATTTTTACCACCGGTAAAGTAGTGTCCATAATTCATATTTATCAGAAAAAGGTTATTAAAAATCACTTTGAAGTATTTACAACTGACTTCAATAAAGAACTGTAATCTGTCAGAAGTTACAAAAAAAAATAATATATTTATTCCATTAGCTAAGAATAAACAGCATCTAATTTTTTCGATTAATTCTCCATACTACTGTCATTCCAGGTCATATTTATACTACAGATACATATCGTGTGACTTAGTCTATTTTGAAAGTTTCAACCATAAACAATAAGAACTTATAGAGAAGACTACAATAATAGGTTTTCATAATTCGTAAAATGTTACAAATCTTTTCCTGAAGTCAATTGTATTACTTAAAAAATAATTCTTTAGAATGTTGCCCTTATAAATATGAACTATGAACACTCCTGTATTGGTCCATATAATCGAAATATGATAGAGATATTTAAATTTTTCTCTATTTCGTTACTTGTTGAACATTGTATATAGTATTAAGAACTACAATTTTAATCATAGGATTTCACCAAGTGAACTTAATAAATCAACATTCAAACATGAATATATAACAAAAACTTTATCTTATGATGAAAAATTATTTCGTCAATTGTCAATTCCTATTTTATGGTTAGATGTACAAGGTGATGTTCGATGGAATCAAGCTGCTGAACATGGTATGCTAAATTATCTTACTCAAAAACAATTTCCTGATCTTGATCGAATTGGAAAATCATCGATGAATAAAAAAGAAATATTAAATAAATGTCGTGCACAATCACTCTTTATTTTACATGAACATTGGTCAGGATTTTTTAGTCGAGTACTCTGTTTTATAGCTCAATTTGGTCAAACACTTTATAGTCCACGTATCGCTGTACTTAGTGGAATTCAATTTTCAGGTTCACGTGGTGCTATAGATGATTTCTTAAAACAAGGTATTACACGTTATTTTTTACCAATATCTATTTGTTCAGCGTATCAACATCATCCTGAAATGAACACTTTGAAAAATCTTATTGACTTAGCACCAAATGCAATACGTATATCAACTAGTCATGAATTATACGAAAATAGAAATAATAAATTAGATCGTGTATTAACATCAGCAAAATTTTGGACAATGGATTATCATCATGTACCTATACGAAAATGGTTATTTGATCGAAAACAAACATCTGTTTCATATAGTTCTTCAATAGATATTCTTTCAAATCATTCTAATGAACATATATATGCTCCAAAAAATGAACAAAATGTTCCTATTGGTGAATGGATTAATAGAAATAAACCTGATGCATTTTCTTCTGATCTTTTACCAAATCAAGGTAAATATAAATTAACATGGCAAGACCACGTATTTGGTTCATTTCTTCGTTATATGTTTGCTTTATTTTTTGGTTCACAAAATTCACCACGTATTGAATTTAGTGTTCGAATATTAACACAATATTGGTTGAGTTATTTAACTGATAAATATTCTATACGTTCAAATATTAATATATTTGATGAACTTGCTGGTGTATATATTCGTCGAGGAGATAAAGCATCTGAAGATTCATTTTGGGCTAAACATAATCGTTGGCGTAATCTTTCACTTTATGTTAAAGGTATTGTTGATGAAGAACAACGTCGAAACAAAACGTTTAAATATATATTTGTTATGACAGATGATAAATCTGTTATGAGATCAATGCAAGATTATGCAAATCTAAAGTCAGAGGGTACTGATGAACCATATGCACGACAATATTTACGTGGAAGAGAAATTCTTTATAATGTATTAGCACCACAAGAATGTTTTGATCCATTTATTCGTATTGGATTTGATCAATTTCTTGTTAGTATGCGATTTTTAATTGAACATTCGGCTTTTACAATTGGTCATACAGATTCGAATGTTTTTCGATTTTTTCGAGAAGTTGTTTATGCTCAACGACAACATCAAACAAATGTACAAACATTTACATATGTTCAAAATGCTCCAGATTCTTTGGAAAATAATACAGAGAGACATAGCACTATAAAAAATAAATTAAAGAATTGATTGAATTTAGTGATTTTTTTATTTTTGTTTTTATGATAAAAGTGATAATTTGTGATAATAAAACAAAATGAAATAGATAGTAGTAGATTTTTCATAGAAAAAAACTGTTCATGATAAGTTTTATTTTCTAATTATATGAAAATTAACGGTAGAAAATCGAAATTATTGGATTTCGGATATTTTACTTGATTTATATCTCATAAAATAAGAAAAAAGTTAATTCAAACTTTACAATAATTATAATTTATGGTGTGCTGTATGGAAGGACCAAAAGAAAAACATCGAAAATTTCAACTAGCAAGACATTCTGTATCTTTTGCATAAGGAGAGTGAGTATGAAATGTAGATTCTAGTCTTCTCTTCATCTATTCCCATATCCACTTCCATATCCACCCTGGAGACATGATTTTTTTTCAATAATTTTCTACTAACGTTTTCAAAATATAATCTGCACCATTATTTTTTGAATAGCTTATGATAGACAGGCCAAAGAGACCTGAAATTTTTATCATTCAAGAGACAGCGTCGAAATATCGTTTCGAAAATCTCTACCAAGAACTCATCTGATTGATCAATTGTTGACTGATCAAACTTTGATATACTTCGATAGTTCCGGGTCTTCTCTGTTGAATAATGAAAACTCCAGGTCTCTATGATATCCCAATAAAAAGTTACTCAAAAACAGTGGAGCACATTATATTTGGAAATGAATAGTAGTTTTGATATTTTTCTATTCGACCTTTCCACGGTCAACTTAATTTATTGCCATTAAAACCATAATATCTATTTAAAATTGTTCATATTCAATAGAATAGTATTTTATAGAAGTAATTAGACTTCTTGTATTTTATTTTTTCAAAACTACTGATATTTGATGACTTGAATAGGATCAACTTTCTTTGTTAATGTTTTGATCGAAATTCAAGTAGCGAGCTATTGATATACAAAACTAATCTTGATATGACACAGGATATTAAAAAAACATGGTTGATCTTTTATATGATCCAAGTAGATATTCAATATTGAATTAGTGTCATTTATCTCATAGGCCTCGACAATTTTCAACATGTATATTTATAAGAAAAAAATATAATAATATTCTTTTCATATTCCTTTATCTACATTTTTTAATATTCCAGGAGTAGTTAACAATGGTAAGAAAATGATAAATTTTATTATTTCAACAAAGAAGTAAAAAACATCATGCTTTTCAATTTCTAGAAATTTCTTTTCATTTTTATCAATCTCTGTATTGGATATCAAGTATATGCTCTTAGAAATACGAATTTTTCAACTGTATGGACTAATTTTACACAAGATCTTCAATTATCGCATGCTACATATTCAATTACTATTCTTGATAATTCTACAGGAAATATTATATTTTCATTTAATAAAGATGTTGGTCTTGCACCTGCATCAACTCTAAAAACTGTAACTGGTGCAGCTGCATTGCATTATTTAGGTAAAGATTATCGATACAAAACATTATTAGAATATTCAGGAAATATTAATCCATTTGGTATTTTAAATGGATATATTTATATTGTTGGTGAGTTATTATAGTTTTCGAACAAAATATTTGTGAAAAGTTCATTTATTTGTATGCATAGGTAGTGGTGATCCTAGTTTAGGTAGTTGGCGATGGAACGAAACAATGGGTAAGGTAATTATGCAACGTTGGGTAAATTTAATAGCTGGAAAAGGTATAAAACATTGTCGAGGTATTGTATTGGATTTAAGTGTATGGCCAGATCAAACACAAACAATACCAGCTGGATACACATGGGGAGATTTAGGGTAAAATAACATTGATACATACTATTCTTTTTGATTTATATTGAAAATATGTACAGAAATTACTATGGTGCAGGTAGTAGTGCATTGAATTGGCGTGAAAATCAATTTCGCCTTATTCTTTCACCTGGTCTTGCTGTTGGTGATCCTGTTATTCTTGTCTATATTGATCATCCACCACCATCAGTAATTTTTATTAATGAACTTATTACTGGTCCTCCAGGTAGTGGAGATCGTACAAATTTATATTTAGCTCCAGATGGAACCTATGGTTATTTACGTGGTTCATTAGGTATTGATTCATCAAAAAATATTTCAATTGGTGGTGCTATACCTAATTCAGCATTATTTATCGCTGATGAACTTCGTCAAGGTATGGGTTGGTCTAATGCCACATCGATTAAAATCATTTATCGAAAAGATATCAATAGTACTAATCGAACAACACTCGATATATATCAATCACCACCAATGAGTGAAATTATTTATTGGTTTGAACAATCCAGTATTAATATGTATGGGGAAGTGCTTGTAAGAACAATTGCACAAATGATTAATTCAAGTATTAATAGTATATTACCAGTATATTGTGAAACTGAACATGGTATTGAACAGACAGAAGTAGCAGTTATGGATGGTTCAGGTTTATCACCAGAAAATCGTATAACAACTTGGGCTATTGCACGTGTTTTATATAATGTTCAACAACGGTCACCTTGGTTTCCATTGTATGAACATGCATTACCGACTACTAATGGAATTCGTATGAAAGGTGGATATATTCATAATGCTTTGTCATATGCTGGTTATGTGAATCATCAAGTCTTTTCAATTATAACAAATAATTTTAACGGACAGACGATCACAATGCGACAAAAAATATGGGATTTACTTGATACACTAAAATAAATTTTAACAATAAACAACTATCTAAATAGTTCTATATTGCATATGACAAAGAAAAACTATAAATCAAAGAATCGTTATTTTTCTTTTTCAAGATAAAAGAAGAAAAAAAATTGATAATCTTGATCGCATTTTATTCAAATGTATGCGAATAGAAATAGGATATTGCCAGAGAAATAAACAAAGAGGCGTAGCATTCATTTGTAATGATTGCTATAATGCAATTCTTTTTCTTTTTCAATCGATCTGAATTGAAAAAGGTGTATTTAACAATTTTCTAATATTAGCCATCGCAACTTTAATATATATGAATATTTGTTAGACAAATATTTGATTTTGATAAGTGAATAGCGAATCATGTGATAGTTCAAATTGGTTATTTCTTTAATTCTTGGTAATAACAAGAATAAAGATAAGAGCAAGTAAGGAGATTATTGATTATCGTTATTAGGCTTTGTTCTCAGCATAGAGATGATTTTTTTATTATTTTCATCAATTTCTGTGTTGAATATCAACCATAGACTCTTAGAAATACGAAGTTTTCAACTGTATAGACTAATTTTATATAAGATTCTCAATTATCATATGCCATATATTTAATTACTATTCTTGATAATTCTACGGAAGATCTTGTATTTTCATTCAATAAAAATGTTAGTCTTGTATCTGTATCTACTTAAAAAAATCAGTTACCCATATAGGTGTTCTTCATTATTTAGCGAGAGATTATCGATATAAGACATTATTGGTATATTTTGAAAATATCAATGCATTCGGTATTTTGAATGGATATATTTATATGGTTAGTGAGTTATCATATATTTCGAAGAATATTCCTCGAAAGTGTATTTTAATAGTATATTACTCGTATATTGTGATACTGTATATGCATAGGGTAGTCAAAAAGTTCTGAGAACACTAATTCAATATTTTATGTTGATTGTTTCTAATCTCAATAGGGTCTTTTTCTAGTAATTACACTTGTTATATACCACATAACAAATGAGCGTCTTTTCAACTCTCTACTATGGCTAATTTCTAGCTACTTTTCTTTTATCTCCTGCTATGCCACTAGATAAGATGTACCACAAGACAAATTTTATAAGTACATAGAGTAATCAAAAAGTTCTAAGAAATGAAGAAATTTATTGATAGAATAAGACATCCAGCGGATCTTTCTATAGCAAATGTTCGAAGTAGTCGCAGTAATGCTCGATACAAAGTTCCATTCTTTCAATCCACTTTTGAAATGTCTTTCTATATTTCTCAATCGGAATCGAATTGAGCTCCTTGGTTATTGCTTCCGACAAACTTGTTGCATCTGGATATGAATCAAATCTATCTTTCAGATAGGTGAATAGCCAAAATTCTGTAGAAGCAAGATCAGGCGAGAATGGTGGATGAGCCATAACTTCGATTTTGTCACTTTGAAGATAGTTGATCACAACATCTTTCACATTAGGCCTTGAATTATCGTGATAGAGCTTGATACCGTTTGTTTATAATGACGGTCTTTTTATTAATAAGTTCTTGACCAATGGTTTTAAACATTCATCACGATAATAGATTCCATTAATAGATACTCCAGGAGGTACCTGATGAATAAGCAACGTTCATTAGTAATAAAGAAAATGACAAACATTGTTTTCTTTTCATACAGTTGCCGTTTGACGACAGTTGAAGGTCTTCCCTCTTCTGCTACCCATGCTTTTGATTGTTGTTTTTATCCAATCTTTCGATGGCAAACCCACGTCTTGTCCCCAGTGCTAACATTCCATAGTCGTCATTCACCATTTTCAAACTTTTCCAAGTTTTTGGTACAAATATTCACACATCGTTGTCGTTGTTCTTGTGTCAGGTTATGAGGTACCCATTTTGATGATAATTTTCTTAACCGAAGATATTCTCTCAGTATAGTATGTACACTGCCATGGGATATATCCAACACATCGACAATATAATTAATACTAACATGTGGATTATCATTAACGAGATCTTTGACAGCAGCAATGGTGTCTTGAGTGACGACGGTTATTGGATGACCACTGCGCGGATCTTCTTCAAGCGACTCTCGTCTACTTGAAAAGGCATGAAGCTAGTGGATAACCGTAGCATATGATATGTACTCTTGGCCATAAGCAGTGATCAATTCTTCATGGATTTGAGTGGCAGTTAATGCAAGAAATGAACTAATCTTTATGTAGTAGCGTATGCACTATTTATCTATGACAAAACTGTAGGTGTTAAATCCGTCATTCGTTGTTGTGTATATGCTTACTTGAAGATGTTACTTCAGATTTATTTTTAAAATCAATCTTTTTCTTAGAATAAGAAAAACTTATATATGATCCTGATACGTATTCTCAACTACGCAATAATATCAGCTCAAGGTCAAGAATAACATTTTCTTGACTTTTAAAAGAACAGAAAGAAAAGAATAACAATAGAGATGAAAGAAAATGAATAAGAGTTATTAGATGAAAGAAAGAACGAAAGTATAGGAAGAAAACAAAAAAACACATCAGGGAAAAATATCTAACAGAACGAAAGAAAAGGAACGAACATATATTGATAATACTTATAACACTGATCTTATGGTACATCTTATCTAGTACCATAGTAGTAGGTAAAAGAGAAGTAGCTAGAAATTAGCTATAGTAGAAAGTTAAAAAGACGCCCATTTGTTGCGTGGTATATAACGATTGTAGCTACTAGGAAAGAGTCTGATTGAGGTTAGAAATAATCAATATAAAATATTAGACTAGTGTTCTCAGAACTTTTGACTGCTTTATGTAGTATTGAGTAGATAGCCATAGCAACTACGGATGATTCAGATTTATTACTTGAAACTGTATAACAACTTGGATTATTGTATATATTTTATATAAATTTTGACAATGAACATCATGGTGTTCCATCTTTTGAACGTACATCATTGAGTACCAATTAAACTCATATGAAAAATGGTTTTTTTAGAAATGTTCTATCTAGTAACTTGTATCGGAGTCATTTTTAGAAGCGATCGAAGCTCTCACAATTGCCTACCAGTAAATTAAGTTGAATACAACAAGTTTTTTTTTGAATGATAAGTTTTATTCTTCGATATTCATTGTACAAATTAATGTATTTTGAAGGTGTCATTCATGTTTCCTCAGGGTTTTGCAAAGGTGGCGAAAAGTCATAGTCAAATTTAACTTCGACTACTTCCGATGGATGTAGACCTCGAGGGAATAACAATCAAATTTCGTAAACATGTTATTTTGTATTATAAATACGAACGAATAAAACTTACAATTCAAGAAAACCTCTTGTGTTAAATCTGACTAATTAGTAAGACATTTAGTTAACTTCGATGCAACTCCAAAAAGTGAGTCCAATGCAAGTCTCTAATTCAATTCTTTTCCGATTATATCAATAAAAAAATATTTTTAATTATAACGAATAAATAAAAAGTATCGCGCAAGTGTTATGTATTAAAAACTTTTGAATTTATGCGTTTATGTACTTAAATAAAGTTACACACAATCAACTAAATAAAAAATACGTATATCTTTTTTTTTTTGATTCTACTACAATATCTATGCCATTCAAATTGAGTGCTCTTTGAATATAAATGAAATTGTTTTTCTTTTTGTTTTTATATAGAATATAAAAATAAGATGTAAAAGAGATGTGAAACGACCTTGAATTTTTTTCTTATTTAATTTAAAAAAGTGAAGTAAAATTTGTTCATATAATGCTGCATACTTGTCTGCTATACCGTTAGGCATTCAACTACTTGAATAATTTTTCTGTAATGAATTGAGTTTTTGATTTTATCTAATTAACATAGCCCATATTTATTTACTTGTTTACGATTATAATCGCTTTTCTTAAGCTCTATGCGACTGACATTTTTTTTATTCATTGGATTCCTTTTTTCAAATAATTGACTCTGTTTTTTTATTATATGTTTTAACTTTCTAAAGAATGCTCACATGCTGCATTAATATTCCTTTTTTTTTCTTCTTACCTGTTGTCGATAGAAGAAAATAAAATGGAAGAAAAAGAAAAAGTGTGGCGCTGACGCGCAAATGTTATTGTAAGTCAATACACGCTCAATAACAACTGGCATACAGGCAGTAGTCGTTTTTTTTTTTGGTGACATGTCTCTTTCGTTAAAGAAACGCGTGAAATCAACATCAAGTGTAAGTATTCTTTTTTTCCTATATTAATTTAGAAAATAGTCTAATCAATAACAAATGACCATGATTTTTTTTCAAATTCAAATATTTAGATAGCTCCATCTGATCAGGATGATAACAATTCATTAGGTGAAGTTCTTCATCGTTCAACTAAAACATCTAAATCATCAAAGAAATCAAAAAAACCTAGTAAATTTTTCCGTACTGGTCGTCTTTTAAATCCTGATAGTGATTTTGATAATAAATCACGATCATCATCAGTTGAACGTTCAATTAATTATAAAAGTAAATGTCCATGTGATACACATTATGATAAACTATTAGTTGAACGTGATTATAATTTAATTGCTGATAAATTATTTGATTTAATATTTGGTAAAAATGAATTTGTTCGAACATATAGACAAGCTCAACGTATCTATGGTTTGTTAGATTAATAAAATGATCGTTTTTTTTTTCTTTAAGATCTAGAATAAGTTATATTTCTTTAGATGATACAGCAACTGAATGGACTCTGAATGAAGAAACGAAATGTGAGGAACGAGTACTCACTTATAAAGTATCATATGAATCTACATTTGTTGGAAAAGGAGTTATTTCATCACGTGAGAAACAAGTAAGAAATGATATGATTTAACATACAATAGAAAGATTAAATTCTAATCCGAGAATCATCTCTATCTCGATTAACAACTCTAATATTTTAATTATTTTGAAGTTGTATAATGAAAAAAGTTATTACTTTTCTTATAAAAAACAAACGTTCTTTCATTTTTGTGTCAGGTCAAATACTCATGCACAATTTCATGACTTGTTATGCACTTCAACATACTTTAAAATACCTTTCGAATAGAAATTTATAACAAAAGCAAAAAAAAAAGACATTTAGTTTTATACTATGAATATATAAAATTACTAATGAGATCTTTTAAAAATCTAATAGGAGCAAATTAAGCAAGATCTTTATTATTAACAGTAAAATATTTCATAAGAAAATTGAGTATGCACATTTGTTTTAAGTTTAAAATAGCTGTGTATTACGCCTACACATTGATTTCTGTATGCAATATGAAAGCCATATGACGTCAAAAAGAAAATTATACAATATTATTAATGATCAAACATACATAAAACTAAATCAACCAACATTTTTGTCCATGTTGAAATAACTCATCCTCAACAATTTCAAATTATCTTTAAATATTATTACAAGTCAATGTCGTTTATTTTAACATTGACTTTCTGAATATTATTGTCAACTCTTTTGTTTGATCAAGAAAAAGAAACAAATAAATTTTGTAAAGCACAACATAAACTGATTGCTGAAGTATATAAGGTAGAAATTTGTACCCTCTACCAATCATGACAAAGATTACTATGGAAACGTCACGGGCCATGATAGACGGGATCGACCGATCGTAACAGACACCTTAGCAACGTCTCCTCCTTTTCAGTCACAGATCGTAACAGACACCTTAGCAACGTCTCCTCCTTTTCAGTCACAGATCGCGACAGACATCTTAGCAACAGTCCTCTTCCTTGCATTACAGCTTGTGGCAGACATTGTGGATATACGATTAAAGACCATATATCAATAAGGTCTCGTTCTAATATATGAACTATTAGCTCATTGCATTTGTGAAGGATTAAGTAAAACGATGATAAAGAATGTGTTCTAAAACAGATAGAATTAAACAATCTTCCAGTGATTAGTAACATCAGCTAGAGTGAATTTCATATTTTAAGTCTACTGAGATTTTACTAACAGCTTTTAGATAATAACAGAAAATGAGGAGAAGAAAACAGATTTTTACGATGAATTTTTCTTATTGTAGACAATTTTACATAAAGTAGCTGGTTCTCATCACACAGTTGAAACTGAAGTATTCAATGATGGTGTTAAATATAGTGATACATTTTCTCTAGCTATACGTTATTGTATTGTACAAACATCTGCAACAATTAGTAACTTACGTGTTACTGCCCAAATTCGTTTTTGTAAATCGGTTAATGGTTTCATAAAACGTTCGTATTATTTATTTTTTTGTTCTTTCTTATTATCATCTTTTTTTTCTTTTTAATTTGTTTCTTTTGTAGAACTTATTGAACGAAATGCATATTCAGCATCACAAGAAAGCATTAAGGATTTGAGTATGTCAATAAATTTAAATGATTTGTTTTAAGATAAAAGAAATTAATTCTAGATAATCGTCTTCATCTTATCAGTAATTTTAAGGGTAAAAAAATCCGATGAGTTCTTTTTTTTTCTACATTAAATTATTTTTACATTTAAAGAAAAACGTCGGTTAAGTCGAGGTGAAATTACATTGACTGTTCCATCGCTAACAAACGCAGATGGTCGTCGTATGAGTCGACATGATGCACTTGGTATTACACCATCAAATCAATTAATGAATTATGATGATAAAAGTATGTTGAATAAATATGAAAATAAATATTTCATTTTTATTTATTATCTTAGCTTATCGTACAACGTCAATACTTTCTGATCCGAATAAAACCGTATATTTGTTCATTCTTGTGTATGAAAAATTTATTTCTTTTTTTTTTTTGTTCTTTTTAATTTAAAATTGAATTAATTACTCTTTATTTTTAGAACGGTTTTTCTTTTCTTAATTCATTTATATTTATATTTTAAACTTAAACATATGGATATTCTTGTCGATAGTTTAACAAACTTGATAAAAATGTAAATTTATTTGATATTTAAAACTTAATTTTTATTGTATTAAATAGATCATCTTCATCATCAGCAAAACGTCGTTCATAGGCAACATTTTATGCTTGGCTTTCTTTTTATATTCATATATTTGTTGAAATTAACCAACATGAAATAAAATCATTTTTTAAATTATACATTAGATCGGTTTTTTTAAAGAAAGTCATTGCATGTTTATTACGATCTTTTTTTATTTCTTTCCCGCGTAAGAACTATATTAAATGAAGTACCGTAATCAAAGTAATGAAAAAAAAGGTTTTTTTTCCTTCTTCGTTATATTGATAACTAGGGATCCACCAATGCCTGGTTTTTTTATACTAAGTATCGTATATTTGCAGCACTTAGAACCGTCAATTCCTATCTAGTCTTCATCGCTCTATTTTATGCTACTACCGTACTTGATGAAATATGATTAGTAAAATGGAAGGCTTGCCTGAAATTGATGGTTATAAGGGCTGTAAATATACAATTTTTAGTATGAAAAATTAGGAACTGGTGGATTTCTATTTATGACAAAAAAAAAGATAAGGATAGAAAGATTAGCAAAACAAAATTTGTATGGTATTGTGTTAGATTTGATTCATTAGATCGATGAATTAGTTAATGATGAAACTAAACGAATTGCTGAATGAATAATTATTAAAAAAATATTTTTAATTTTCTAATAAATTTACTGTATCGCCAAAGTCATTTTTTTTTAAAGAAATTAATCCATTCAAATATCAATCTCATTTACACATCTTTGATTTTTGAATAATAATATGCAACAAAATTCATTACAACAGTTTCACAAATCTGGTCTATATTCTATACAATACGATAATTAACAATTAACTCTTTCAGTACTAGTGTCCTGAATAAAAGACACTTATTTTCAAATTTCTTTATTTTTGAATAACTCACAAACACGAAATAATATCAAAGTACTGTTTTCACTATGACATAGAAGATACTTTGGTACATACATCCATGTAAAAATCATAACATTAACAAGGTTAATATAGTAGTAAACCAGATGAGTACATAAAAGACTACTAATACATCATTTTGCAGATTATTATATTCAAAAGTCGGACTGATTCTAATTTAACGTGCCTTAATCTTTTATCATCGATCACCATGGCACTGATTGAAGAAGAAAAACCGAAACAAGACTGCCACGTTTAATAATTTCATTTCGGAAAGAGGAATAGATCATCAGGAAATAAAATATCGTTTGATACATTAAGTAGCAAGCAGTCGTTCCTTTCAATTGTTATCAATTACGCAAGATGTCCTGTTTGTAGTATAAATCAAGATCCAAATAAAACTGTTTATCATTGTTTTAGTATAATTATCATAAGAATATTTTGTAAATAAATGAAACTTTTTTTATTTTACATTTTTGTATTTATAATGGTTAATATACGTATATGATGAAATTGTGAAGAAATTTCTTTCATTAGCGGAGTTATGTTACTTCAAATGTTAATGGTTATTTATCAGCTTTAAAACACAATATTGAAAATTATCTATTAATTTATATGGCAATATCAATGTAGTGTCGTACATTAAATCATTTAGATGTTCGAGAGAATACTGTTTTTCGTCTATGGTATATTCATTTTGGTTATTTAGAGTTGTATCGAGATGGACTACATCAACCTTATGCACTAATTAAATGAATCTATACATAGCAATATCAACATAAACGTTCATTTCCTTGTGAATTGAATCAATAGTATTATGTAGCCATTATTATTAACCCTTTGGGGACGGGTTTTTTTAAAAAACTTAAGCCTTTTTTTAGAGTGGAAGCAGATGTTTATTCAATAAAAAATCATTATCAAAAGTATTTTAGGGTATGATAAGCTTGAAAACAATCAATTACGCATAACCCAACATTACATTCTTCACGCTAATATCTTGTGTATTTGAAGCAGAAAAGAACGAAAGTGATGACGGATAGGAGAACACGAAGGCCTGATGTATATAGGAGAATAGGAAAAATATCAAGGTAGACATATTAGAATGCATAGGGAAAATCCAAATAAATACTGATAATTTACTGTATCAACACAGAAAAATTACTCTACAGGCTATTTCCACTCACTTCTGATTGATTTGAAATATATATCCTTCTTGAATTTTGAGAAATACTCCAGGTGGTATATATACCACGCCCTTCTCCAAAGGGTTAAAGAAAAGCTAAATCTTCAATTATATATCAACAGCAATAGAGTAGATAGTACTAACAAGCAAAATTTATTTACAACACTTGTTTTCGTCTATCGAATTTTCTTTATACTACTGTAGAAATAAACAGCATGGTCTATTGTTTGATATTTATTGGCGGAAACGTTCTTTTATAAATATCTGAGAAATTTTATGGGCAAGAACAATGATTGATAAATTTTATTTTATCTCTCATTTGCAATTATAAATATGATAAAGAATTTAGATAAATATCATTGTTGAAGATCTGAACAGTTCATAGATCTTGAAATGTTTTACCGAATTTTATACTACGCGATTTTGTAGAGGAAATAGTATTTGGAGAAAAAACAAAAACTTTCTAGAATGCTTCACTCTAATCTTCTTCAAAATCAAAATATTAGAACATGAATGTCTAGAAGAATGAAGTCAAGTTAAATTCACCGATATATTTTTATACTAAATAGAGACTTAACTACGTTTGTTCAAGTATGAATTTTATATTTTTTTTAGTTCAAATAAAATTATTCTAAACGACTTTTAGTTTTTATTTTCGTGATATTCTTTCTAAAAACAGACTCACAATCATCCGATTCAATGCAGGATTCCAAACTCTATAGATTGGTTAGAATTCTTAGTAAAACAGAATTTGAAATCCATCAGAGCATATTTTAATGATATTTCTCATTTTTTTTTGTGATGTAATAAAACAATATAAATGATACTCTCTACTTACTGATTTAGAATATATTCCAACTCGACATTTCCTTACAGCTGATAAGCTTCAGATATGATCATTGATCTCTTAGTCAATTTTCTCACAAAGCATCTTATCAAATGAGTGATCTGAGATACTAACCATGAACAAATAGTTCCGAAGGTCACAATTGTCATCCATGATATCTTTCGAATTATTTTTATTTTATATTGCTGCTTTCTTCTTTAGACTGAGTGTAAGTTGTTCCTTTGTGTGATAAGAAAAAGATTATAATCATGAATCTCTATTAGCGACATGAGAATAAATATATCTAAATCATATTCAAAGTATAGTCAATTATTTCGATTAAAATTTCCTCTTGTTTTTTTTCGAATAACTTTTACAATAAAAATGTTTATTACTACAAATACGCGCTTCTTTGTGCTTTTCTTCGATTAACTAGTGCGATGATAGTTATGTTCGACTAGTATCAAATAACTATTAAACATTATCATGTTTGCTGGTGCTCAGATTGGTCATTATCATTGTTTTTTTTTCTCTTTATTGATTATTTTAATTTCAATATTTAATATTTAGTAACAACGAAATTAGTTCCTCGTGGTCAACAAAAACAAATAATCGATGCTCAAGATGAAGATAAGACTACACAAGATTTAGTGAATATGACTATATTAGTACCGCGATCAAAAGCAGCTATTGTTGTTGAAACTCGAGCAGAAAAAGTTGAACGAAAAGTTCTTGCACAAGAACGAAAACATGAAAGAATTGTTGAACAACAAAAAATTGCTAATCATATGGAAAATTTAATGGAAAAAGTATTTTATTCATTTTCGATTAAACAACTTGATCTGTTCTAACTTACCCCCAAAAAAGGTTCTTCATGAAACACCATTATCAAAAAAAGATGAAGATAATTTACGTAATAAAATCAAAACTATTATGACTAAAGTAAATAAAGAATCAGACAAAATCGATGTTACATCTCTTCATTCATCTATTATTGAACATTCATCATCATCTCGAATAAAATCTGATGTATGTATTTTCAATTGTTATACAAATGATCGTTCAAAAAGTTTCGAGATTGATTTTATTTAAAAACAACAAGAAATACTGTTACATTAGTATTATTGTTTGTATGTAGGTCATAAAGTCCTCGATCTATAGATGTCATGAGTTCTGATCGGTTAAACATTTATGTCTAGATATAGCAATACTTATTACACGAATAGAAAATTTTAAAATTTGAGCATCCCTCAATTATATAATTTCTAGCACTAAAAGACCAATCTCCATCCAATATTCATGAATGTATAATGGTAGTTTCTCACAATTAAATATTGATGATGATCCTTGATATGAATGACATGAAAATTAAAATAGTTAGAAACTTTGTCATGATCTATTATATATGACTAAAATCTCTTCAAGATGAAAGTCACATTCGATAGCATCTACAAAACTATACATCATTTATATATCAATGCTTATTTATCTATCTTTAAAAGGACTAGCCCATTCAAAAAGCATACTGGAGTGATAGAACATTATTACTATAAGTTACCACCATATACTCATAAGTATTCTATGAGAATTCACCATTCAAAACACAAAGTTTTGATCAAGTTTTTAATTTTCTATCAGTATATATGAGATGATCTAAAACGTATTGCTTTATCTAGACATAAATGCTTAATTGATCAGAGTTTATGACATCTATAGATCGAAGACTATATGACCTACATACAGACAACAGTACTAATGCAACAGTGCTTGTTGTTGGATGTAAATAAAATCAATCTCGACATTTTTTGAACAATCCTTGTGTTTGTTTATTATTCATATGTAGTTATATACATATATATCTAGTCTGTTGGACAATCATCTCCATCAAATCCACATTCTAAATCATTGAAAACAGCAAATCAACGAGCTTTTCTATTATGGTACGATAAAAATTCTAATTGATAGTTCTTTCTTTGATTATTATATTCGAAAAAAAAGCAAAAAAAAAGTCTACAAATAAATTAAATTTTTTAATTTAAAAATTTGATATTTCCTTGTATAAATCGATTGTTTGATTATCTAGGACAGATAATTTAAAATCATTGAGTCATATCACGTAATCAAATAGTTTTCATTTAGCATCATGGAAGTTCTATCAGTTATACATGAATTATAATTGTAAATCCTTTTCTATTTTCGTTTTCATCTTCATCAACTATGTTATTATTGTGTTTGATGAATATTTGTTGTAATCAACGTTCTTATCATGTTGCTAATGATTAACATAAAACATGATTTTCTTTTGCTTGAATGGAATGTCAATAGTCAAATGAAGAACTGTTATCAATATTATTAATAAAAGTCACATTTAATATGTAAACTTAATTCTTCGAAGTCAAACTATTATATATATATATAAGTAAGATAATACTTTATAATGATGATCAACTTACATAGATTCAGGATATTAAATTATTATTCATGTTAAGTCAAAATCTATCATAATAGAATTTCATTTGTCAAAAGAATAAATCTAGTTTAAGTGAATCGTTCTGCGCAATAGAAGATCCCTTTTGAAGGACTGATGCACAGGTTGTAAAAGAAGGCGTCTATTGATTAATTAATGTCACGTGAAATTAGAACTTTATATTTATATCAAAATATATCGAATTTTCAGAGTTTTGAGCTGAAAAAATTTTAGAGATAAAGATTAGCATTATTTATGAAACTTTTAACCCTGAAAATCTCCCCTAAATGGTTGAAATCGTATCAGTTTTTAAAAAATTTTTTATGAAAATAACTGGAATACAATAGAAGATCACAAGTCCTCTATTTTAGGCAAGAATTTAGAGCGTAAATGTCATTTTTTATTTATCTGTTTGACATAGATAATGAGTAGTCTGAAACAAATACGATATACTCAATGACTGCTGATGAATGTAATTACTATAAATATAAGAAGATTGTTTAAGATAATTTTATTGAATAAATATTTTACGTTTATCAATCTTTGACGTGTAAAAGAGAAGCTCAAGTATTGAATGCATATGCTTCTTTTTATATTTTTAATTCATTTGTCTTTTAAGTAATCAATACCTTTCGTTAAAGAATTCAACTGAGATTACTTTAGTAGAATATATTAATTTATATTTGTAATTATCATCGACATCTTATGAAATAGCATAATATGTTTAGTATTTCTAAACATATATTATTGACAATAATCAATTATAGAACAAATTTCCATAATTTGATGTATGTACTCAATCAGCTTGTTTTATAAAAAGATAATCATTGTGCCCTCCCATTGAGCTAATCTCTACTAGTATAAGAATAGTAACAAAACTTAATCGGGATTTTTTTGTTGTTGCTCATCTACAGATTATATATAGTGTAAAAGAAAACAATAGATGTCCTCAAGGATTAAATTAATGCTTGATTTATGTCTTGTTTAAAAATAAAACTCAATGTTAACATGATTTATATTTGTTTTTCTTAATATTTCCAACTTGAATACCATAGTTAATAAATATTAAAAATCTATTGATGATACTCTTTGTACTTTAATGATGAAAAATACGATGTAACAAAAAAATAATTTTTCAAAAATATATGTTTGTATTCTTAAATTTTTATTAAATATCATTTTAAGTATTGGGTTGTAACACAAGTTCTTCTGCAAGTTTGTTTTTTGTTCATCAACAAATTTATTTTACGACAAAAATATGCAACATCAATCAACAATATAATCGCCATTATTTTTGACAACCTTTGCCCATTTTGCTAGCAATTGTTCAATTCCACATTTGTATAATATTGTTGATTGATGTTGCATATTTTTGTTGTAAAATAAATTTGTTGATAAACAAAAAAACTTGCAGAACTTATGTTACAACTAAAATACAGTAGTATGTTTCAAAAATATACATATTATTTAAATAGAAAAAAATATATTATGTAATTCTTCTTTCTTACAATAAACACTGATGAATGATGCATAGTAAAAAAAGAAATGTTAGACATATGAACTGAGTGAACTTAAGAGAAAGAAATGACAAAAGTGTTTTAATGAATATTATATAAAAGAAATTTTTCCTTTTTTTAAACTCAGCGGAAGTCAATTGATATTTCCTCTAAGTAGTTATTTGTGTCTATTATCACATTTCATTTTATATACAGCGAGAAAGTATAAAATATGCTACATCTTATCGTATAGTTACATTATATAATAAATGAAATGGAAGAAAAAAAGTTTTATTGGATTTTTTCTTTTCTGTAAAGTACAATGTGAACTAAATGAATTTCTTTTCTTATTTGTTGTTGTTTGTATTTGTATTAACATATAGCAGTTCAATTAATGTTCAACTAATTTATAGCTTATATATCGACGTAATAAAATAAGATAAAGATCACTTTACCAATAAAAAATTGAAGAAAATCCAATTCTAAATTATGCGATATGTCATTATCAACTGTGTTCATTTTCAGAAGAAAACATTGATTTCATCTATGTCATTTGTTTATCTATTAACATTTAGATGTTTTTTCATAATCACATATTCACGTTCTATTGAAATCATGAATAAATTCACAAGATCATCTTTAATATATTCAGTCTCATATTGATATTTTATGCTAATTAGTAGTCATAGGTCGATCGTTATTGTTATTATAAATATTTCATTTATTATCAATAGAAGAATATAGTTATACATATTATAAATATGCATTTCCATATCTCGTTTATATATACATTATAACTAATATTAATAATAGATCTATAAATTTTGGCTCTGATGTGAACAGACATTGTAGAAAATAGACATGCAAATTTTTTTTTTCTAGTACAGTCTTTGTCTTTTAAACTTAATTTATTATACAAGATGGTTATATTATAAAACATAGGACATATTGTATGCTCTTCCGATATATGTCCTTATTGTATTGAATAAGAATAACTTCATTTTATACTAACACGAAATTATGATTTATTGTAAAATTCTATTTCATTTTTTTCTATTTAACATCTATTATGTTTATTTTTGTTGTGGAAAACAAGCTCTAAACGAATGATGATTAATTTTCTACGTCTATGAAGTAAATTAATGACATATTGGTTATAAAATAGTCGATTATTGTCCTCCATTGCTGATTGCTATTGAAAAGTAGTATTAGAATGATATTTGATTTATTTGCTGTCAATTTTAGTTTCCCCAATCAATATAAAAGAGATAGACATGACAAGAAGTCAGGTTGTCATTTGAATATTTCATTTCATTGAAAAAATATCACGAATATATGTCCATATTATATTTGCTGCCGATAGATATATTGTCTTATGAATCTATTTTGATACTCATAGTTTAATAGCCAAATTAAGTATGAATATTAGTATACGATTGAAATGTCTAAATATGCGTGACTATAAATCATTATTTTATAATTTCGATGTTTTTTTCTTTCTGTTCTATTAGTAAATTATAGAATATGATCAATACAAATGACGATAAGAATTCATTTGTTTATGATGACTTTTTCTCACGTTCGCTTTTTTTTTAATTTGTATTCTTCAAATTATATATATATATAGTATTGTAAGATGTTTTCTTTTTCTTACAAAATAAATTTACGTATATTTCTGAACTATGTAGCATAGTAATATTGTATTCATACACATCAAATCTTTGATCGATAATCAAAATTCATTACATATTCTATGGAATGAATGAGTACAAAGAAACAATTGTCACCTACATTAAGACTATCCAAATGAAGTACTATCGTCATTATCATCTGGGATTGAATACACGAGACGAAAAAAACATGAATGATTGATTGAAAAAAAAGTCTACCGTTTAAATGAGATCTTTATTTTCTTCTATTCGCATCTAAGCAACAAAAAAAGAAGAAGAAATCTTATACAAAAATCTTTATCATTAATATCAGTAATAATAATAATTATTATTTGTGAGTAGACCTCATTTTATCTTAATACGATCATTTTTCTGTTGTGTTAAGATTGGTAAGAAAAAAGATATATTTTCGGCTAATATTCATTTTTTACTCAAATAATAACAACGACGAGTGAAAAATCAAGAAAGAAAATTTATCGTATACTTAGATGATTTGATATCTATTGAAATAATAAAAATAATTTATGATCAATTAATGGAATACTAACAACAAACTCGACTCATTTTCTGTTTGTTGACTCTAAGTAAGTACCATATTTCTGTCTTTCTGTGTCAATGCAAATGGTAACAATCTATTTTTTTCTTTCTTATGACAAGTCGACGACCGTGATGACTACAAACCTCTCAACATATCATTTCTCTCTGTCAAATTTTGATATCACTACTCATTTGTATTCTTTATTCCTTCCACACAATGGTTTTAATGATATAATAGATGGAAATGATCTTTTTAATAACATCAATGCAACATTGAAGCCATTTGATAGGTACGCACCGTGAGTATATTAATTATATAGGATGTTTTTAATAAGAAAAAGAAGGACTCTATCATCTTATGTGCTCTCTTATCTGGAGAAAATAAATTGATTAGTCTTTAGAGATGATATTTATAGATACTATGAAATCAAATTATAGTGTTCCTATGAAGGTCGAAGATATTATTAGTTAAACTTGTGTTTTTTTTCAAAAGAATATTTCATGCTTTGGATGTTCTATAAGTTAATTATCATTTTGAAATTGAATTAAAGATTTACAGCAGTAAGAATCTAATATTAGAATGTATCAAAAAATAAATCCAAAAAAGACATTATTGACAGTATTTGCACTAATATCCGAGAAATAAAATCTTCAAAATAAATATTTAGTTTATAATGTTGAGTATTTTGAATGAATACTTGTATAGAAACGTTTGTCTACTGAACTAATGCATATGAAATATTTTCTATGTTTGTATTGCTACTCAAATATATTGTATTACATTTAGATAAATGACACTAGCGAATAAAGACGCATAGTGATTATTCGAATAGTTATGAATACCTATCATTTGATAATAAACGCAAATTAGTTAGCAATACAAAGATAAATCAAATAATGTGTCTAATGTTTTTTTTTTTTATAATTTTAACTCGTAATAATCTCATAACCTAGAGCAGCCATTTATTTGATATTTCTATTTTGTCTCATGAGCAATATTTCAATCTAGACTAAATCTAAAAACCTTGAGTCATTTATTATTGAAGTATCGAAATAAGTGTGCAATGTCGCTTAACAGAAAACACTGGTTTTGTATTCTTTTTTAATATTCTAATTAATTTTTCTTCTTTTTTTTTTAAATTAAAACGCATCATAAAATGTTGTCATATATTACATTATTTAGTTCTTTATAAAAGCCAATGTAACTGTTTATACGAAGTTAATTATTTGAAAAACAATATTCTAATAGCTTCAAAATAGCATCATATGATAGACATCGATTCATACTTCATACTGATGAAACTATTTTTTCTTTTATACTCGATATTTTGAGCACATTCATAAATACTCATAACAAATCTATCTTCATCACGAGACATTTCAATAGAATTAATGACACACTTAATGACTTTTTTGACTTCATTGTTTCCAATGACCTATTCTAAGCAATACTTAAATATCAGATTCAAATATTATAAACACAATCAATCCAATGCAAAAAAAAGTTTTAGAAAAAAAAAAATTTCATCGTATATCACGAATTCCTATGATGATTCAAATAAGTTGAATAAGAACATTGAACAAAAAAACATTTATCGAAAAGATTAGATAGAAGTAAATCTATCATTTAGAATTATATGTTTCGTTTACATGAAATATGATATAAAATCTTTTTCATAATATATAAATTGATAACAGTCATTCGATAATCTTTGTTAAATAAATTTCAAAATCTTAATCATTGTTTACTAATATCCATTGTCAAATATCTAAAAGTCAAATACAACATTTATTTATTTTTTCTTCATATACTTTAGATATTTTTCTGCTGATGGAATGACTGGAATCAATACATACGATAATAAAACATTTACAAATGAATTTAATAATGCATCATTTTTGGTTCGCAGTATTCTTCTAGCAATGACTATGTTTACTCTTTCTTTTATTACTGTTTTTGGCAATACAATTGTTATTTATGCTTTACGAACCAATCGTCATTTAAGAACGGTAATATGATCAATTTTTCTAAGAGATTATCGTTATTTAATGAGACAGTTTAAATCAATCATTGTATGAAAATATTGAATGTCCTTATGTTGAGCAAGAAAAAATAAGTCTTATCAAGTTTTGTTCGAATTTCTTTAAGTCAAATCAGAATAATATATCATCATGACCTTTTAGAATATCTTTCTGAAAGTATCAAGGTCATTACTATATATTTTTATTTTCATTATTACTCTTTATATCTTTGCGAAAAGGTTAATTGAAGTGGAAATTCTGAAGAAAGATAACTAATCACGCGAGACATCAAAGATTTTTATAAATGGAAAAACAGTAAAAATGCCTTTAGCAATTATTTCGTCGTCAGTAGTCTATACATCTTAAAACAACAAATAATATAATTTTTCTTAGAAACGAAAAGAAATCTTGTCGAATAAGTTTTATTGTTATATAAAGTTTAAAAAACATTGACTTCCGTCATCTTTTAATGATGGTACAGAAATAATAATAATAATAATAAATCTAATCCTTTCAACTTTTTATTGTAATGAATTACAACATCAAGCTAATCCGATGAGAGATAATTACTTAATTTTAAAAAACTAGACAATAACCTTATCAAAACAATACATTTATCTTCATAAATGTCTGCGAAATATGTGATAAAACGTTATCTATGTTGCTGTTAAAAAGTATTAATCGTGTCCTCTAATTCATATTTATCAAGAATAATAATCAAACTATCCTATCCTATATTTTTTGTCTAATGCTATTTAATAATAAGTTTAATTTGACAAAAAAAGAAACTAAATAAAAATGTTTGATTGCAAAGTACTTGTTCCCTCCTTTTTTTAATTATGTGACAATGTGTATTAAAAAAATATTTATTTCAATTATAAAATTATCAAGAATAAATGAGAAAAAAGCATTTTCAAATGATTCTAATATGATAATCATTAGTGAAAAACAATATAAATACTTGCGTTATATTTATAACAACTTAATCATTTTCTAAGTGTGAAAATGTATCTTAATTTGACAAAAATAGTATTCGTCGATAAACAATTTCTTCCTACTCTAATAAACAACGTATTTAGAAGAAAAAATTCCTCTTTTTTTTTGCGTAGCGTAAAATACATGATAGACTAAATATAAACGAATCAAATGTGTAGTTTTTTTTTTTTAAATGTTAAAGATTTATATATATACAGATAACATTAACTTAAATAAATAAATAAGTCAACTATTGTTTATATTTATGTTACGTTATTTAACTTTTTCATTTTGTCTTGTCGTCAATTTTCTGCATCCTAATTCATCCAATAAATTCATGTATACACATAAGTTTGACCTTCAGAGTACATTGTATACCCAATCTTCTAAATATTATTTATCTAAAATACATAGTGATATTATGATGAATGTATTTATGAATAAATTCGGTCAAACAAGCTTTTAGAAAAATCTTATTAAGAAAAAGAAGCCAAACGGAAATTGACATCTTTGCAATATAAATATAGTTAACCTTTAGCCATATGTATACCCTGATAGACAACAATAAACGACCATATGGTCAGGACAATGTAATATAACCTCAATGATCAAATCCAATAAAAAGAAAAAATACTAAAGAAAGCGTTTGTTGGTATTTTCTTGTACTTTGTTCCATTTATGACTTTTACAAAATATAACTTAAAATGTACGAGTAATTTACGTTCAAATTCATACATAATTTAGTTATTCATTCTCAATAATTTATTCCCAATAACTCACTATTATTCGTCTCGTTTTTAAATAACAGACTTAACTTGTCTTTGAAATTTTATAATTGATATCTATTTTTGGTCGAACTGTATTCAAAGAAAATTAACTTAATTATCTACCCACATAGCAGGTGCATCAGTTGGAAAATCTTTTTTCTTTTATGTTTCACTAAAAAATTCATCAAACGGTCTGCAGATATCGTGATTAGAAGGTTACGTTAAAAAAAAGAAAAAAGAAACCACTAAGACATATATACCACAAATATTTGTTATGATGAAAAAATTTGTTTGATATAAAGTCGCGATATTTGAATGCGTTTATATTAATAGTGAATTCCGAGCGACACACTGAAAACGATCGCTTCTCTCTCTACCAAAAATTTGTTTCAATTTTTCTCAGTTGAAAAAAGGTTAAAATCGATCTGATATTATCTCTCAAGGACTTAAAAACACGATTTTTTTAAAAATCCTCATCGCGCCTTTTTTGTCGAAACATGCTCATTTATCAAACTGCTAGATCGAACACAACTTTATATCATGTTAGAAAACTGTTAGATGAATAACATTAATATATTAGAAATTATTCAAAAACATTGCAATAGACTATATCTTCTCAATCATCGGCAAAATTCTTCGTTTCGTCATTTTTTTTTCTTTTTAGTTTTTGCTATTACTCTTTTTATTTTATCATTCTCGCCATTTTCTCGTTCAATAAGGAAGACAAGTTTTCTTTCAGTCTGTTCTTTTCTCGCCTTCTCTCTCTCTCTCTCGCTTTTTCTTTCGCTGTCTCCTTCTCACTCTTCTGATGTCACTAGAGATAATAATACAAAGAGAGTTTTGTCATTAGCCTGTTGCAACTTTCATTCAATAAACAAAATGAAATTAGTTAGTTTAAATTATATCTTCTGCCACTTGTCCCTTTTCTTCTATTCATGAGCAATATTGACGAATTTCTTCTTGGTGAAGAAGAAGAACAACAACAACAACAACAACAGAACACATATTCTGTTAGTTATACAAATGCTCTTTCAATTAGTATTGGAAATATGTCAGAGATTACTCTAGATAGTATAACACATGAAAACCAAAACAATAATACAAATTATTTAATAAATGATTTTAAGTTAATATCGTTAGTATATACAATTACTTTTGGTTTCATTTGTGCTTTTCTTTGTTTTTTAACAATTACTGGTAATTTACTCGTACTCATTACATTTCGTCGCATACGAACTGTAAGTACTGGCGAAATTTCATATAAAAAAAGTATTTAGATCCTTTGATTGAATGATTGGCTAGTTGATAGAACACTTTTATATCTATTAATAAACTTCAGAATACAACAAAAAAAACAAGAGTTCATTTGATGAGATCGACTAAGATTTAAGTTATTGATTGATGAATGTTATGTTATACGATAATTAAATCAATATTATTTTTATTTAATAAAAATATTTTTATATTGATTTAGAAATAATAGATTAAAAAATATTTATATGAAGACCAATATGTGAAATATTAAAAAAATAAACATCATGAGAATAAAGCATCTAATTAATACAAGGTGATCTATATTATTTTTTTATATTAAAAAGAAGGAATCAGTGTAAATTAGAAGGAAATGGAAAGAAAAAAAGCGTCATGATATATTAAATGATGACCAATTGAACATAGTGAGAAAAAATAAAGATTCATAATTAATGTATCACGCGATCATGATAAATTTGTATTGTCTGGTATACGTTATTTAAGTATATGTCAACAAAGATATAAATAAATATTAACGAAAGTTTTATGAAATTCTAATACACTTATAATAGTAGTTGGTTTTTTAAAACTTTGTTCATTTAATTTAAATCTATCTATATTTTTTTTTTATGTAGGTTGGAAATCTGTTTATATTGAGTCTTGCTACTGCTGATCTTATTGTTGGTTGCTTTGTCATGCCCATAGCTGGTATATATGCTATTATGGAAAAGTGGAAAATGGGTAAATTATTTTTTTCTCTTTCATCTTCATAGAAATTGTTGATGTAATATAATTTATTAAATCATTTCTTTGATTAAATATGACAATCAATCTAGTATATTTACGATAGATCTCAAAAGAAAAAGAAAATACATTCTTATGCATCGATAAATTTTAAATAAACATAATAAATAAAGATGTCCTAATAATTAAAAAGAAAAGGAAGACGAATCATATTACCGTGTTTTCTAAATGAGTTGCAATGAAAGCTTTTTAGATTCTTTAAGGCTATAAATTATAAAGCAAAGAAATTTTCAAGATAAAAAACGCATTTGTTATTTCTTTTGAAGCACAAAGTAAAGAGGGCCAAAGTGATCTTCATATCGTTATAAAATCTATTCTATTGAATAGATTTATTAAAAACATGAAGATATATTAAATAGAGCTTAAAACGAGGTGCATTACGTTAAATTAGATACACAAATTATATTAAGAAAAAAAAACAAAATTCACATTGTTTATTTCGATATTTATTTAATTCTATCATCCTCAAAAATGAAATGAAATGAAATGAAATGAATAGAATATGCAAATCATTAGACAAAAAAAATTGTATAATTATCTTTTTTTCCTTAAGGTCTTGTGCTTTGTAAAATTTGGATATCAGTGGATTTCACAGCATCAACAGCATCTATATTTAATTTATTAACATTAAGTTTAGATCGTTATTGGTCTATAACATCTCCACTTCAATACCTTGGTAAGCGAACACGTACACGAGCTTTATTATTAATTGGTTTTGCTTGGGGTTTATCACTTCTATGGGTTATACCAATTTTTAGTTGGCATCGTTTTGATGATACAAAACGATATATGGAAGTATGAGATTAGTTGAATCTTTTGGTTTTTTTTAAATACAAAATCTAATCTTCTTTTAGCCGGATAAATGTGAACCGGAATATACTCATTCAAAAGTATTTAAAGTTTCAACAGCTGTGCTTAATTTTTATTTACCACTTCTTGTATTAATATTATTAAACGGTCGTATTTATTATGAAATAAAACGTCGTTATAAAAACGTTCTTTTACAAAGACATTCAAGTAGCACGCATGATTCAATGAATAATAATAATAATAATAATAATAATAATAATAATAATAATAATAACAATAATAATAATAATTTATATAATCATAAATTAAATTATAAAAGACAAAATCCATGTTCACCAGCAACTATAACATTATGTGATAGTGATCGACATGTATATTCTTCAACAATAAATTATACAGAAAATGATGGTCACATTATGTCAAAACTTTCATCTAGATCTTCAACAAATAATAATGATGCAGTTTTACGAATTAATTTTAAAGAGAAAAAAAATCGACCTAGTATACCAATACGATTAGTTGATCATTCAAAATCATCATTAAAACGTGCTTATTCATATATTGATAAAAAACATTGTACACAAGTAATCATACAAGAAAAAAAACAACAATTCAAATTATTTATTTTTAATTTTTCTATTTCTATTTCTTTGTCTTTTCATTTAGGATGAATTAACATGGTTTGTACATCATCGTGGACATTCTCGTTCATCATTTAATCCAATGTCAGCAACAATTTTATCAAATTATAAATATAATCATAGTCGTTCTCAGCATCTTCCTATTAATGAACATTCGTTTAAATATACTAATGATTGTAATTCAAATCGAACGGATTTAAATAAACGAGAAAGAATACGTAATTCATCGAAATCATCACCAATACATAATCATCATCATTATCAAACATTTCATAATACAACATTATTACGTCGTCATAATTCATTGTTAGATTCAATCAAAATATCATCACCATCAACAACAATGAATATTTTTAATTTATGTCATTGTTGTTCAGCAACTACATCAGCAATTACAATACATTCAAATCCATTTGTAAATAATCATAAGAATTCAAATAATGAATCATGTAATCAAGCACGACAAATTTCACCGACAGCAGCATCATCTGTCGTTTGTTCGCCAATAAATCGAAAACAACAACAATCACAATCGATATCATCTTTGAAAAGAAGAACAAATAGTATAACATCACATGCAAGTCCACATTCAGTACCTAAATATCATTATTATCAAACAACAAGTAGTGTTAAACAAACAACAGTATGGAATCAACAAGAAAAAGCTTTTCGACAATTATTTGCTATTGTATTTGGTTTCACATGTTGCTTTTTACCATATTTTATTTTATATATGGTTGTTGCTTTTTGTGGTTCATGTGTATCAGAACGAATTGTTACAGCTACTATATGGCTTGGTTATGTTAATTCAACAATTAATCCATTTTTATATGCATTATCAAATAAACATTTTCGAAGAACATTTAATCGATTATTAAAACGAGATAATCGACCACAATCGTATTATAATTAATAGATCAAATACTAAACACCATCAACTAATTATCTAGTGTTCTTTTTTCAAATTGTTTTCATGAATATCAAATATATTTTTGTATTTAAGTTATTTGAGCTTTGGATCGATTCCATGTTTTTTTTTTCTATATAACTAAATTAGAAAAAATACCCAAGGAAACTTCGATGAGAATTCATGTCGTAGCAAACTTTGCAGATAAAAAATATCGAAGTATGAATATGTTTCTTGTACAAACGTTTTTAATAAATCAAGTTATAAATATATCCTTCGACACGAGAAATCTTGATTATCATATTATAATAATAAAGCTCAGTTTTCTTTACTTGTCCTTTTATAAATCTATAGATATTATTCCGTATTAAAATAATGAAGGAATTAGAAATATGAAAATAAATTGTTTATTATCCGATTTTAATATATACTTTTAAATTCATATTCTGTTCATTATTGACGGTAGTGATACTGAGTCAATATATGAACATATATCTTCATAATAAATTGTAGCATGATGTGATTATGAATATAATAAAAAAAGTACTCTCAAGAACGTACCACGTAATTCAACATGAGTATTCTCATTTTTGGGTAGGCTTGATTTACGTCCACATAAATAACAAAAAAGAATACTTATAGATTAAAACGGATGTTTGATAAAATTGTTTTCATTACTTATGTTAAATTTTTAAATACTTGAAAATTAAAAGAGTAAAATGCTAAATGTATAACTAAAAGCGTGATTTCTATATGAAAGTAGTTTAATGTAATATGTGCGGAAAAGAGTTGATTTTACATTTGTTTTCATAAATTAATATTTTGAACATGCATTTACACTATATGGAACGTCATTGTTTTCAGATGTTACCATCAATAATACAATGACAAAAAGTACCTCATTATACAGCGTGAAATATTAATTAAATGACCTTGAATAGCTTTTACAAGCAACATAAAACAAAAAATATTTTTTCAATACTCACAGTGGAGGTGTTTGTGCTGTCAGTGAATAAGATTAGATATATTCGAGTTAACTTAAAGCTCTCACCACCAAACTAACACATTTACAATATAGACTGCTCTTGACGTGCTCAATGGAAGATATTCCAATTTTACTCTATGTTCAATTTGAGTATAGAAAAATCAGCATATGATGATTATTTACATCCACTTTTTTTAAACAATCAACTGAATATATCGATACTACAATTCGAGCAAACTTTCTGAAACTTATCAATCATATTAAGATCATATGAGTTTTGATGTCTTTTAAAACTCAAGTAGTATTGAAATGAGAGAAAAATATGTGTTGCATTTGAATATGACTTGTACGAGAAATATTTAAATTTTAAATGCATTGGTACATCACTTGGTGGTCTAGCATTTAAAAAATCCAAAAAAACAAAAATAAACGTTGATATATGAATAGTTTCTATAGATTGTTGATTTGCGATTGGTGTAAAATAATTATAACAAAAGTTACTTTGAAAGAATTATTCCCTCTTATTCTCTATGAATATATCACCTAAATACATTTACTTCATTAAATAAAAGCATGAATTTATCGAATATTGCGAAGCATCTTCTAGACATGATTCAAACCGAGTCTTACATCGTAGATTCTATTACAAACACTGATGAAATTACTGCTGCACAATAATTATTCCAAGTTTTGAACTCATTTAAAGATAGTTAGTTTAGTAAGTTTTACATTTATCATACTTTCGAGTTCGATGATGAATTTGATGACGGTGAAGTATGGATATGTATGTGACTGCATCGATCTCAGCTGGGTTTGGGTGTAGATGGATGTAGTTCTAGTCATCTTCTCACACCCTAGCTAACATTTACCGATACCCACATCCACACACTATTACTTCAATCAATTCCTCTCTTCATTGCTTAATCAATATAAGTACGAATAAATACTATCGAGATTTACTTGTTCTTTTTCGTGAGATCACAATTTGTAAACCACATTCAGACCGTTTTATTCATTTCATTCATCTTGCTTTACCAATACCTAACAATCTGCCTATGTGGATGAAAAGTCTCCTGAATGAAATGCGTGGTAAAATCTAGTAGCCACATCGTTTTTTCTTGAAAAATGTAGAGATAAAAGTCATTTTTGAGCATCACCACAAAGCAAGTAACCCATTACAGTATTTTCCAGTAAGGAACCATGAAATGAATGAATCGTTGTCAACAAGGAACAAGATTGAGATTTGACAATCTTTTTCTGTTAAAGAAATCGAAATTAATATATGATGAATTTGATTGTATAGTTTCAAGTCAAAGTCATTGATTGTTATCGTTTAGTTCAATTTAAACAACAAGTAATGCGTTGGTTTCATGAACCTTGTTAAGTTTAATCCTGAAAGCAAGTAAAGATAGTATAGAACATTGACTTCCACATTGCTAAATAGATTCTTAAATGAGATTGAAATTAAATTCAAGAAGCTTTTTCTGTGAATAAAATCAGTAGATAGTATTGAAATCTATTATCTTTCTGATAGTTTATAGCTTGTCACTCTTTTTTGTGTAAAACGCATTTCATTACACTAATGTTGGGACACTTTTTACTAGATTCCGATGGTAAACATGTGTGATAATATGAATATGTAACAAATTATTTGTTTCAAAATAAATAAGTTGACAGGATTGTCTTCTATGATCTAAAAATATTTCATACATTTCCTGTACAATCTAATAACTTGCAAGATCAAAAGTCAAATATTTTTATTCCAAACGTTAGACCATGAAAAAGTACTACGATAAAAGATTCAAAATATCTCGAATTAGTTCTCTTGAATAAGCTGATTTTTTTGTTGGTGGCAGAAGCTTATTTAAAATTTTTTTCATACGGATAACTTGAGAAGAAATAATATTGTCAAATCATATTTTTTGCCTCGCTAAAGAAAATTCACACGTTGACAAGCAAGAAAAAGACACGACAAGTGTTTCATAAATAATTTCAATAGTTGTCTAAGAGAATGAAAAGAAGTAAAAAACAATCTTTATGAATGATACTACATTGATGCTCACCAGACCAAGTTTTGAAAATCTGTCACTTTCAATGTTGAAGTTCGTGTCAACCTATGATGATACAATAGCTGAGACTTCTCTCTTTGATGGTACAATAGAACGAATCATTCATAACTATTTCAAGATGAGAAAAATCGCATTATATTGGGTTGCTCACGAACTCAGTACTGAACCAAAGTAACAACGACTTAGAATTTGTTGTCAAAATCTAGCAAAATTTCGGAATGGAAAATGAAGATTATCTGATATTATTACTGGTGATGAAACATGGATTTATTATAGGCAGATTCGTCAGAAATCAAGTAATGCTACATGGATTAGTGGAAATGAACCGTCAATGACCATTGTTCGTCGAAATAGATTTGAACCCAAAACATTGTTTTGTTTATTCTTTAAATCTAATGGTCCTATTCTTATACATAAAGTTGATAAAGGCAAGACTATCGATCACAACTATTACATTGAAAATTGTCTCAAATCTGTTATCAATGAAATACGAAAACAAGAAAAATTATCACGCACAAAATGTATCAAATTGCTTCATGATAATGGCCGTCCTCGTACTTATCCGGAGGTTATTAACTATTTAACAGAAGAAGATATTGAGATAATACCACATCCACCATACTCACCTGATCTTGCATCCAGTGACTTTTGGCTCAATGATTACATCAAGAGCAATTTGGCTGACCAAGCAAACGAAGAAGTACTAGCTCGGACGGTTTACAGGATAGTGAACAATATTTCAGAAAAAGAGTTTAAAACAACTTTTGACAAACTATTAGAAAGTATGGAATTTTGTATGAACAGTAATGGTGACAATTTTGAACATTTTATAAAATAAAACTAAACATAGCTTTTTCTTTATATATTTTTTATTTGATATTATCAAAACTTTTGATAAATCCTAAATATACTCGAACGCTGAACGAGGAATGTTTACATATTCACTGTATTATAGACTTTTATCTAAAAGACTGTTAGAATTTTAGATGAGACGTTTTTCTATGTATTCATGCGATAAATCTTTCTATATTAAGTATTTTATAAAAATTTAAATATCGTTCTACGAACTTTTGCTCAAATCTAAGTAACTATTATAGGTCGTCATTTTACGTAACAAAATTAAGATACTGTACCAACATTAATTATACACATGATCATTTTTTAAGTAATTGTTCATGCATTTTTAATCTTGAATATTTCATCATATTATTAACTTACAAACTTTCATATTGCATAGATACGATTCTTTTGATAGATAAAGATCGGTAAAATCATTTATTTATTTATGATTATCTTTCTTTTATATTAATATTTCAATTGTATTTTACTAACTTGGAAGAAAATGAGAAAAACAAAATAATCGAAATACATTAGATAATATCAAAAGCAAAAATTTGATAAAAAGAATACTAACTAGTGATCATCTGTAAAAAAACAGAACATAGATATAATAACTATCGAAAATAAAAAGAAGAGAAAGTCATCTTATTTTGTATTAAAGATATTTTCAATAGAGTTAAACTGGTAGAGTATAGGCGGCTTTCGATAAGCGAGCAAGTACAGCATTTGATGCATCAGGTTGTCTTCGAAATCTTATTGATTGTAATAAAGATTGAATACGGGCTGAATTTCTGTCATCTCGTCTTGGAAATAGATTGTTACGATAATTCGCATCCTTTGTAGCCTTTTTAGTCGTAACCTTCTCAGGTGGCGCGATTTCCCATCTTTCACCATGAACTTGAATTCACAAAAAAGAAGTTTCTTTCAATGAAAAAAACAGAAAGTTCATTTTTACCTGCCCAATCGAGACCAGCAATTTCATCCTGAACTGAAATACGAATACCGATTGTCCAATGTAAAGGTAATAGAATTCCAATTGTACATGCAGCACTAAAACCTGACAAGAAAGTACGTAAAACTTTATAAGAAGAAAAAGATAAGAAAATCGCAGCAAACCAATTGCAGTAAGAATTCCAGCTATTTGATACCACAGTTGTTTTGGATTACCATAGAAAGCACCATCGGCACCAGTTATTGTATTCACTGATCGTTGACTAAATAATCCTGTCATGAATGCACCTATGATACCACCTAAAAAAAGAAAATTAAAAAAAAATCTAAGTACATCTAGATAGTTTACCTCCACCATGCATAATACCAACATCGAGTGTGTCATCTATTCCAATATTATGTTTGTAAAGAATAGCAAAATAAATAATTACTGTTGCTATTATTCCGAAAAGAAGAGCCCAACCAGGCTCAACAAAACCAGAGGCTGGTGTTATTGCGACCAAACCAATTAAGGGACCACAACAAGCACCTGATATTGATACTCGACCACGAATAAGATCAAGTATGACCCATGTTACCAAGCCCGAAGCTGCAGCTGCAATTGTATTTACCAAAGCAAGTGCTGCTAAAGCACTAAACAAAAAAGAAAGAATGATTAGGGCTACATAGTTTCATGTAAACTTGAATTACTTGGCTGCAATAGCTGAACCAGAATTGAAACCAAGCCAACCAACCCATAAAAGGCCAGCACCTAATACTGTTAATGGAAGATTATGAGCAGTGCTCTTTTCCTCATGATAATCATGTCGTTTTCCAATGATTGCTGCTGCAACGATACCCGAAACGCCCGATAGAATATGAACAACAGTTCCGCCAGCAAAATCTAATGTTCCTAAAGTTCTTAACCAACCATTTACACCCCAAACCCAATGAGCCATTGGATCATAACATACTGTAGTCCAAACGAAAATAAATATTATATAAGGGATCAATCGAACTCTACCGACAATTGATCCTGATAAATATTTTAATATTCATTGATTACAAAGAAAACAAAAAAAAAGATTTTGACTAACCAGATATAATTGCAGCCGTAACAATAGCAAATGTACCTTGATATGCAGCATAAGTTAAAAGTGGTAAAGTTGGACAATAAAATGGATCATGTCGAGAACCATTAAAACGTAAAGCAGCGTCAGAAAATGATCCAAATCCAACACTAACTGGATCACCAAATGCAAATGAAAAACCAAATAATACCCATTGAACAAAAATAACTCCCATGCATAGAAATGATAAAAATAGCTGACTTAAGACATTTTTTCTATGAACTAAACCAGCATAGAAAATTGCCAAAGCTGGAGTCATCATTAATACTAATGCTGTTGATGCCAGCATCCACGCATGATCTCCCGTGTCGAGCAGTAAAGCATCGGCAATAATTGTGGTGGTAGTTGTAGTTGTAGTGGTTGTTGTTGTTGTTGTTGTAATGATATCAGTTGTAGTTGTAATGATACCAGTGTCAGACATGGTGAATTCCTATACTTGAAATACTAAAATACAAATAAAAAATCAAGTATCTAGTTATGCAATCGAAGATTGAATGAAAACAGTCAAGCGTAGAAATGCATCATCATAGTGTTTTGGTGAAACAAGGTTGAAAGACTCATTCTCTCAATGTATGACACTTTGTTTATTTAAAAACATAAGCTAGGAAAATAAATGAAAGCTTTATCATCGTTAGTTTCCATTAGATACCATCGAATATGAAATAAAACACATATATAACTATTACCAATTCACCGTATGTATAAACATTTATATGTTTCGTTACTCCATTGACGTGAAAACGATCACGAATAGACCACATGCATTAGGTAAAACTGCATTCTTTTACCAATTGTCATACGTATTGTGTGAATGATGAGACACATTGTATTCGTTGATAGGAGCTTGGATATCGTGACATACTCGTGGATATACATCGAGCAATACAATCATCCATACCGATTGGATGGTTCGATATCTTTTCTTTGCATATTTTGAAATACTACACCACATATACAAACACGCTCTTGGATTTTTCTTTATCCAACTTATACGGTTAACCATGTCGAAAGTAATCAGACACAACTAGTCGTGTTTTTCAAATTATCGATAAAACGAAACAAACGCAATGTTCAACCTTGGACCAAGGATACAGAATCTATTCACGTGCATGAATGCGCTCGGGCAAATTTTTCAGTATGGAGAAATTATTGAACTAAAAAAGCTATTGGAAAAAAATAATGTTTGTTTTTGGCTTCCAGGAGCGATCACAAACTTGCTAAACCGCTTTTCCAATTTTCTTTTTACTTGTTTTCTGACTTAAAGTGTAAGCATTCGAAATTCAAGTAAACATTTTTTTGTACTTGTCATACTTGTTTGAATAGAGCACGAGCAGCAGATGATGAAAAACTGATTTTTAGCTATTGAAAAAGGGTTTTGGGTCGCAGAAGTTTAAAGGACTGAAGAAGGCTATTTTTTCTGAAAAGTACATCATTTTTGAAAATATACAACATTTTCTATTTTATTCCTTTCTTTTTGTAAATGACAGTAGATGTCGCTTCGAATGAAGAACTTTTTTTAAAGTTTTATTTGTCTAATTTTCGGTCTTTTTCACCATCATCAGAACATAAATATTAATATAAACTTGAATATCATAAATATCACTCATAGATACTAATGATTATATCATAGCCATTTATAAGATAGAAATAAAATGATTTCACTATGTTTGAACAGCTGCTAATCAATGAATGCAGTTTAAATGAAATAAATGAATATGGTTTATTTTATATGAACATATAAACGAAAATAGATACAGCTTCGAATGAATTTCTTTTTTCTTTCAATTTTTATTTGTTTCTTTTAATTATTCGTCTCTTCGATCATCAGCAGAACATAAATACAGGTGTTTGCAAAAAAACTTGGAGATCCTCTTCCACAGATGTCACTTTCTATACAAGTGTTCTTTAACTTATTATACATTGTGGTAGATAGCCCACGAAGAGTACTATACAACGGTATAATTTCATAATTTCATATTCTCTTTATTCACTTCTAGACATCGAAGAGGAAAAAATGACGCTTCTCATTCATCATGTTACACATACGTCGATAAGACGCACTTTCTTTTCTCTCATCATACATATATTCAAACGTTATATACGTACCGTTTTCTTTATCTTAAGGTCACATGTCCATTTTACTCGTAAAACGTGACTGAAAAACACACCCTAACTAACTAAACAAGATTGTTAGACTGTTGATCCTGGTACCTAGTCATATTAGAGAATAGATGTAACATGATATGCCCCATCCCTATCCTGTAATTCCGAACATGAACGTTCAAAATTATAGTCCAATTGATGATCAAGATACACCAATCCCAATCTCACCTTCACTTAACAATATCAAGATTCTCAACATCAAATTTATAATGAACAAGATCAAGAGATCGGATCAATGAATGTTAATAATAATGATGAATTTACATTAGTTAAAAGAAACAAAAAGAAAATTAAAACGAATCATCAGCATTATCAACATCATCAACGTCATCTTCAACATCATCATCAAATCGCTGCATCTGCAAACAAAAGTATTATTGTAACTAACACATCACTTCGAGTTAACCCGCGCATATCAAATACAAGTCAAACAAATTCACATATAATGAAATGGATATGGAAAATGTTACTTCGGAACAACCTATTCGATTTTCACAAACACGTTTTCCCTTCCCATGCATCATTATCAAAGGAGGGGGGTCGATTTTCAATGAAATCGGCTCTCATCAGAAATTCGACTTTGTCTTAGCGATATCGTTGTATTAGGTACCTGAAAGCGTTCTATTAGAGAATTAATGAAATACAGCTTGTTTTTGCTACAAACGGGTGCAGTAACTTACTCATTGAACATTGCATTAAGAATGGTCCTGGCTTTTCATGATAATTGTCTTGCTTCATCCACTCAGTACATGATCGAACAGCCTTCTTTTCATATGGTTGGATAGCATTTCTTGAGGGCTTCAAAATGGCATAAAAATGTCTGGGAATAAAACTGAGCAGCAGCATTTGATACGGACAACATTGGGCCACATGCTCATAAAATATCTGAAAAACCAATGATAATTAATGAAAGCCCCCGTCATTATGGATCAATGGTATTGTTCGCCACGCCAGTTTTTATGTAGTTACTAGAACTTTTGAAGAGGTTCAAAATGATATAAAAATATCCAAGAAAACATACTGGCTCGATAATAAGATTCTAATCGCATTGCTGAGGGGGGGGGTCACGATTTTGAGCTTTTTTCTACCAGAAATGAGCCGATTTCACTTTAAAAATGGTAATTTGGATTAGAAATAATACGATATTCTGAATCAGCATCGAAAACTGAGTAGATCTAACTCAGTTTCGATCTGTTTGGCTGACTTTTATTTTTTTCGAAAACTTCACCCGTACCCCTCTCCTCAGGGATAGGTCAAAAAATGAATTTCATCAAGAATCGCCTTGTATTGTTTTTTGATATGCTATTGAGCGCCCAAATGTCATTTTATTACCTTAGAACTTGATTTGCATAGTCAGATCACATTTTTGATGAAATTCATTTTTTGACCTATCCCTGAGGAAGGGGTACGGGTGAATTTTTCGAAAAAAATAAAAGTCAGTCAAACAGAACGAAACTGAGTTAGACCTACTCAGTTTTCGATGCTGATTCAGAATATCGTATTATTTCTAATCCAAATTACCATTTTTAAAGTGAAATCGGCTCATTTCTGGTAGAAAAAAGCTTAAAATAGTGACCCCCCTCAGCAATGCGATTAGGATCTTATTATCGAGCCAGTATGTTTTCTTGAATATTTTTATATCATTTTGAACCTCTTCAAAAGTTCTAGTAACTACATAAAAACTGGCGTGGCGAACAATACCATTGATCCATAATGACGGGGGCTTTCATTAATTATCATTGGTTTTTCAGATATTTTATGAGCATGTGGCTCAATATTGTCCGTATCAAATGCTGCTGCTCAGTTTTATTCCCAGACATTTTTATGCCATTTTGAAGCCCTCAAGAAATGCTATCCAACCATATGAAAAGAAGGCTGTTCGATCATGTATTGAGTGGATAAAGCAAGACAATTATTATGAAAAGCCAGGACCATTCTTAATGCAATGTTCAATGAGTAAGTTACTGCACCCGTTCGTAGCAAAAACAAGCTGTATTTCATTAATTCTCTAATAGAACGCTTTCAGGCACCTAATACAACGACATCGCTAAGACAAAGTCGAATTTCTGATGGGGGTCGATTTCATTGAAAACCCACCCCCCTCCTTTACACAAGATGTCAACGAAAATGCTATTATCAAAAGTATTGAAAAACACTTCAACAAGAATTTCCGTGTTGATTTATCAATTGCTGGGCACAGACTGAAAGGTAAACGTGATCTTATCTTGTTTGCAGGTAATAGAGAATCATTTATTCTGCTGTATGATGACGAAAAATGACCTCAACATTTAAATTCTATTGCTTATCAAAAAGCCGGTGCTAAACATCTTCCTGCTCAATTCTCGATAATACTACGTACTGTTCCAATTTATATTAATATAGATGAACTGCTGTTGAACATAAAAAATTATTATCCCGATGTAGTTAATGCTTTTCGTATTTCGGATAAAGATAAAAAACCAACAACATACATTCGACTCGATATCAAGAGTATCAAAATTATTGACGAACTATTAAAGAAAAAATTTATATATGTTAATAATATTAGATATACAGTTACAGAATATGTCAGTCCAGCTAAAGTACTTGTCTACACGAAAGGCTATCAGATAGGTCACTTTAGAGGTGTATGTAAAAGTGAACTTCAAATATGTAGGACTTGTGGTATCAGTGTGAAAAATGTTAAAGATCATCAATGTGATAAAATCAAACGATGTATAGTTTGCAATGATTCACATGAAGCAAGTGATAATAAATGTCTATTAACAAGTAACCCTCGTCCGAGTGACTCGCTTTACTCTCGACTGTACTTTCAGCCCTTTCATATTTTACAATGCTTCACAGTCTACAACACAGCTAGTACCCAATATTTCACAAGAGTGAGTAGGTGCTTGTACGTTGATATTAGCATCAATCGCGTTGTGCACAATGGTATGTGGATCCGGATATTTCATTTTTGTCACGAATACATCCAATCAGTTTGACGCCCTCACACTGATACTCAATAAAAATCTATAGAATTAAACTATGGCGCGGATACCCATATCTACCTGAACAAAAAGATGTTTTATTCAATTTGCTGAGAGGTAATAAAACAAAAAACATTTGCGACAATTTGTGAAAACGTGCCATACTCTTTAAAACTTCTACTAAAAATCCATTCACTTACTAAAGTGTGAACTAACAATACTGTTTACTCGATAAGTAATTTGAATATATCAGTATACATACAGATACTTGAATTAATACAAAGAAAAG